TTTTTTAATTGCGGTCTTGTGTTCCCACTAGGGGGATTCATCAGCTCTGGGCCTCTCTAAGACAGATACAGAGCAGAGAAATCTTTCAAATCGGGACACTGGTTGGGGTGACAGTTTCCCCTCATTTCCTTTTACTTCTAGTTTGGTTTCCAAGACAGGAAGTGATAGGAAATCTCCCCAACAGGACACAGGCAGGGAATAAAACTGACCCAAAACTGCTATGAGTTTCCTTTAATCACTCTGGGAACAGAAGTGCCATCCATACAACTGACTTCCACCATAGGAGGAGGACCCTGAGAAACATCACTTCATTTCATTGCTTAACTCTATACTATGGCTGGGAAGTGAGACAAAAAATAGGGAAATGGGGACATTCCAGAAACAAAAGCCCTCTGCAACTTTTTCCTGTTTTATGTCCTCTGAGAGGGAGGGGTCCATAGATATCTGAGACCAACAGAGGGATGGCTCAGATGTACCTAGGTCCTAGAGATGAGAAAGGGAAGCTGAGGTACCTGGGTCCTAGTGAAGAGGGTGAAGGGACATAGGCCCAGGAGAGGGGGGTAGTAGTACCTGGGGTCTTTGAGAGAAGAGAAGAAGTACCCGAGTTCTAGAAAGGGGAAGGCAGCAAAGGTATTGGGGTTCTACAGATTGTGTGTGTGGGGGGGGAGGGCAAGGGCCCAAGTTTCTAAAAAGGGTTGGCAGCAAAGGAGCAAAGGTATCTGAGCTCTAGAGAGGTGGGGGGTCTTGGAGAGGGGAGCAGCAGTACCTGGGCTCTGAAGGGGAGGGGGGGGGGTTGGGGCAGAGGTACCTGGATTTTAGAGAGTTGGGGGAAGCAAAGGTTCGTGGATCCTATGCTAGTGAGGTGAGACCAAGGGACCCAGGTCCTAGAGGGGCAGCATTACCTGGGTCACAGGAAGGGGGAAAAGCAATACAAGGTCCAAGGTCAGGAAAGGGGTCAGAGGTACCTGGGCCTTAAAGTGTAGGTAAAGGCCCTTGGGTCCTAGGGAAGTGGGGCAAAGGCTCCCAAGTCCTGGGGGAGGGGGCATTACCTTGGTCATAGAAAGTGGGAAAAGCAATACCCAGACCTAAGGTGAGGAAAGGGGAGGGGGCAGAGGTACCTGGGCCCTAGAGAGTTGGGTAAGTAAAGGCCCCTGGGTCCTAGGGAGGTGGGGCAAAGACACTCAGGTCCTGAGGGGGGGGGGGGGCAGCATTACCTGGGTCAAAGAAAGGGGGAAAAGCAATACTTAGGTCTAAGGTCAGGAAAGTGGCAGGGGGCAAAGGTACCTGGGCCCTAGTAAGGCAGAAAGGGGGGAACAAAAGGGTCCCTGGAAAGGGAGAAACAGCATTACCTGGGGTTTTATAGAGGGGGTACTGCAGCATCAGGGTCCTGGGAGGGGGGGGGGGCAGCAGAAGTACCTGGGGGGTATTAGTGAGCGGGGATATAAAGGGCCCTGAGTTCTAGAGAGGGAAGGATGCAGCAGTACCTGGGCCCCAAAGGGAAGGGGGCAGTAGTACTAGGGTCCTAGAGAGAGAGGGAAGAGTCTTAGAAAAGGTACTTTGGTTGTAGTGAGAGGGGGGCCCCAGGCGGGTCAGAGTACAGTTGGGAGTTACGAAGGCAACATTGCCGACAAAGGAATCGATGTGTGTTCAGATATGACTGTGCAGGATACAATGTGACTCACATGGCCGGCTCTTTTTATTCTTACTGTACAAATAATAATTTCATAGTCACTTCCCCGCACAGAACAATGCATGAATCACACTCAGGCCCCACGCTGTTCAGCTTCCTTTACAACAACTATTCCGACATTCAGATGGGAACGTGCTGCTGAATGAAATTCCACCATTACATACCAAAGGATTACACTGTCCTTGTATGATTCTCTATCTAGAATTTCTCTAACCGGGCTTCCAAAAACAATCAATGCAGGTCCGGCTTCTCTCCTGACTCCACCCTGAGCTGCACTGAGCATCAGCATCAGCTTTGGTTTAGATATGTGCATTTTAAATGATCCTAAATACAAAGGAGGTTTTTTTACATATACACATATATACATACTGTATATATATATACACATAAATATATACACACACATTGATATATACACACATATATATATATATACAGTGGGGATCGAAAGTTTGGGCACCCCAGCTAAAAATTTGTATTAATGTGCATAAAGAAGCCAAGGAAAGATGGAAAAATCTCCAAAAGGCATCAAATTACAGATTAGACATTCTTATAATATGTTAGATTTTATTTCCATCATTTACACTTTCAAAATAACAGAAAAACAAAAAAATGGCATCTGCAAAAGTTTGGGCACCCTGCAGAGTTAATATCTTGTACTGCCCCCTTTGGCAAGTATCACAGCTTGTAAACGCTTTTTGTAGCCAGCCAAGAGTCTTTCAATTTTTGTTTGAGGTATCTTTGCCCATTCTTCCTTACAAAAGTCTTCCAGTTCTTTGAGATTTCTGGGCTGTCTGTCACGCACTGCTCTTTTAAGGTCTATCCATAGATTTTCAATTATGTTGAGGTCAGGAGATTGTGAAGGCCATGGCAAAACCTTCAGTTTATGCCTCTTGATGTAATCCCCCTGGATTTCGAGGTGTGTTTAGGATCATTATCCATTTGTAGAAGCCATCCTCTCTTTAACTTCAGCTTTTTCACAGATGGCATCAAGTTACCATCCAAAATTTGCTGAAATTTTATTGAATCCATTTTTCCTTCTACTCGTGAGATGTTCCCTGTGCCACTGGCTGCAACACAACCCCAAAGCATGATTGATCCAACCCCATGCTTAACAGTTGGACAGAGGTTCTTCTCATTAAATTCTGTGCCCCTTCTTCTCCAAACGTACCTTTGCTCATTCCGGCCAAAAAGTTCAATTTTAATCTCATCGGTCCACAGAACTTGTTTCCAAAATGCATCAGGCTTGTCTATATGTTCATTTGCAAAGTTCAAACGATGATTTTTGTGGTGAGGACGTAGAAGAGGTTTTCTTCTGATGACTCTTCCATGAAGCCCATATTTGTACAAGTATCTCTTTATAGTGGAATAGTGTACCACAACTCCAGTGTCTGCCAGATCTTTCTGGAGGGATCATGCAGTCAAACGTGGGTTTTGAATTGTTTTTCTCACAATCCTGCGAGCTGTCCTGTCTGATATTTTTCTTGGTCTTCCAGATCTTGCTTTAACTTCCACTGTTCCTGATGACTTCCATTTCTTAATTACATTCCGAACAGAGGATATTGACATCTGAAAACGCTTTTCTATCTTCTTATAGCTTTCTCCAGCTTTGTGAGCGTCAACTATTTTCAGTTTCAGTTTTCTAGACAACTGCTTAGAAGAACCCATGGTGCTGATTGTTGGGGCAAGGTCAGATGAGTCTGGGCATTTAAAACCTTTGAGATTGACATAACCTGGTCTTCCCAGACGATGATTGAGAACAATCCATGACACTGGCAGGTCTCAGCTTGGCAAAGGGGGCAGTGCATGCTATAAATTCTGCAGGGTGCCCAAACTTTTGCAGACTCCATTTTTTTGTTTTCTGTTATTTTGAAAGTGTAAATGATGGAAATAAAATCTAACTTTTGTTGACATATAAGAATGTCTAATCTGTAATTTGATGCCTTTTGGAGATTTTTCCATCTTTCCTTGGCTTCTTTATGCACATTAATACAAATTTTTAGCTGGGGTGCCCAAACTTTCGATCCCCACTGTATATATATATATATATATATATATATACACACACACATATATATATATATATATGTACACACACATTATATATACACACACACATCTACATACATACATGCACACTTACACACACATACACACATACATACATAAACACACACGATGAGCGTGGAAATGTCTTGGTGTCTATTACAGCCAATATCAAGGTTTGATTCCTCTTTAAACCCGGCCCGGTACATTTGAAAGACCTCATGAAATGTGTTCTATACAGGCAAAGGCTGAGCAGATCTCTCGGGCATCTCACATTTATGGGTTTAAACTACCAGATTATTTTTTTCACTCTGGACAGCCTTTTTTGCAGTTTACACACCTCTGCCACACTACACGGCCAGGCAAGCAAGGCTCCCATTTCATAGTATCACCATATAGCTTCCTGCGTCACCCTCTACCTGGTCCATTGGACAAGGATCCGGCATCTTCTCCGTCCACTTAGAAGAAGGGGGACCCTGAACCGGGATATAGCAGTGATCATAAACCACAACACTTCCTGTGCAGAACTACAACTCTTTGGATGTAAGTTTCATTAGTCTATTTGAGTATTTCCCTGTGCTGTGAAATAGACCAAAATAGTAATAGGAGTAACTGCTCCCCATTTAATGGTGCCAGCCGGAGGAATTGTGCCCCATCGTTGTTGTCATTGGGCTCCATCGTTGGTGTCATCAGGAGGAAATGTGCACCATAATTGATGTAATTGGACCACATCATTGGTGTCATTGGGTGGAAATGTGCCCCATCATTTATGTCATCAGGCCCCATTGTTGGTGTCATTGGGTGCCATCATTTAGGTCATTGGTCCCCCATTGTTGGTGCCTTTGGGAGAAATTGTGCCCCATTGTTGATTCCAGTGGATGAAATGGTGCCCCAAGCAAAGGACATCATCTGGCCCCCAGGCCACAGTTTGGAGACCACTGGTTTAAAGGAAGGACACGCCTCTTCCATCTCTCCTGGGCAGGACTGCCGGTTTCCTGTTCTGGGACTCTTCTGGGAAGGCCGTCCACAAGGTTTAGGAGGGTGTCTATGGGAAGGTTGGACCATTCTTCCAGAAGCACATTTGTGAGGTCAGGCACTGATGTCGGGGGAGGAGGCCTGGCTCACAATCTCCACTCTAATTCATCTCAAAGGTGTTCTATTGGGTTGAGGTCAGTCATGTTGGAACAGGAAGGGGCCATCCCCAAACTCTTCCCAGAAAGTTGGGAGCATGATATTGTCCAAAATGTCTTGGTATGCTGACGCCTTAGGAGTTCCCTTCACTGGAACTAGGGGGCCAAGCCCAACCCTTGAAAAACAACCCCACACCATAATCCCCCTCCAACAAGCTTTACACTTGGCACAATGCAGTCAGGCAAGTACCGATCTCCTGGTAACCGCCAGACATGTCCATCGGATTGCGAGAGAAGCATGATTGGTTACTCTAGAGAACACTCTAGAGTGCAGTGGTGGCGTGCTTTACACCACGAAATCCGATGCTTTGCATTGCACTTGGTGATGTTAAAAAGGTTGGGAGAACCACAATCGGGCTCAGGGTAGGATTTCTGCTGCTGTTCCTAATTTTGAGATATGGATTGCGTGCACGCCGGAAAATAATTACACGGACAACTGTCCAGTACAACCACTTTCACATCATCTCATCTCTGTTTATTGCAGGGCGGTGCTTAACCTTTTATACATAGAAAACAATAGAGTATACGTCACTATTACGTATATACAGTCACATTCTGAAAGGCACATTTTGCTTGGCTGAAATATAGGAGAAATGTAGAAACTTGATGCTTGCTTCTCATCCCGTTATCTCTTCACCCCCCCTCACATTCCCAAAGTCTAAGTAAAAGGTCCTCTCAGTGCGAAGGGAGGGGTTGAGAGCATCGCTCTGAACAAAACAAGTTAAGGAGGACTGCAAAGCCCAGCAGACAAAATATATATATATATATATATATATATATACGCACAACACATATATTTAGAAATATAAAAAAGTATAAAAGTAAATATGTATAAAATGTATATTTTAAACAGGAAACAGAATAGGCATTTTACCATATCCATCACAATGTAAGGCTTGGATGCAGCTGCTTGTCCATGGAAACCCATTTTATGAAGCTCTCTACGCACTGTTGTTGTGCTAATCTGAAGGCCACACCAAGTTTGGAGGTCTTTAGCTATTGACTCTGCAGACAGTTGGTGACTTTTGCGCACTGTGTGCTTCAGCATGCACTGACCCCCCGCTGTGTCATGTGACGTGGCCTACCACTTGGTGGCTGAGTTGCTGTTGTTCCCAGTTGCTCCCACTTTGGTATAATCCCACTAACAGTTGAGCGTGGAATATTTAGTAGCCAGGAAATGTCACGGATGGACTTATTACACAGGTGACAACCTATCACGGGACCATGCTTGGAGTCACTGAGCTCCTGAGAGCGACCCATTCTTTCCCCAATGTTTGTAGAAGCAGTCTGCATGCCTAGGTGATGATTGTATACACCTGTGTCCATGGAGGGGATTGGAACACCTGAATCACATGATTTGGAGGGCGGGCCCAATACGTTTGGCAATATAGTGTATATAAATTGCAGAGCTATCCCTCCTATGAAACTGCTTCTATCTGTGCGAATGCAGGCAAAACTGAATACCATGAGGCTATTTTCTCTCCAGGCTGATTGCTTTTCTTTTCTGTACAGAATAGAGTGATGGAGGAAAATTATTATTATACAATATTTATATAGCGCCAAAAGGTTTGCTCAGTGCTGTACATTATAGTGGGGGACAGAACATGAGACAATACAGTAACAGAACAGTATATGAGGGGTTCGAGGGCCCTGCTCCTTGGAGCTTACAATCTAGGAGGGAGGGGGTAGAGGTACAGGAGGAAGTGGCTGTGGGGGGATGGAGTGGTAGGAAGAGTGGAGGAGATCGGCAGTTAGGTGAGGGTGGGGTAGGCTTCCCTGAAGAGATGGGTTTTCAGGGTGCGCCTAAAGGTGAGGAGGGTAGGTGACAGTCTGATGGATTGGGGTAGGGAGTTCCAGAGGATGGGGGAAGTCCTGGAAAAGTCCTGCAGTCGGGCGTGGGAGGTGGAGACCAGGGAGCTAGAAAGTAGGAGGTCTTGTGAGGAGCGAAGAGTACAGGTTAGGTGGTATTTGGGTATCAGGTCAGTGAGGTAGTTTGGGGCAGTGTTATGAATGGCTTTGTATGTCCGTGTTAGTAGTTTGAATTTAATGCGTTGGGCAATCGGAAGCCAGTGGAGGGAATGACAGAGGGGGTGGAGCCAGTGGAGGGAATGACAGCGGGGGTGGAGGCCAGTGGAGGGATTGGAAGAGGGGGTGGAGCCAGTGGAGGGAATGACAGAGGGGGGTGGAGCCAGTGGAGGGAATGACAGAGGGGGTGGAGCCAGTGGAGGGAATGACAGAGGGGGTGGAGCCAGTGGAGGGGATGACAGAGGGGGTGGAGCCAGTGGAGGGAATGACAGAGGGGGGTGGCAGATGCGGAGCGGTTGGTAAGGTGGATGAGTCTGGCCGCTGAGTTCAGGATAGACTGAAGCGGGGATAGCCTGTGATGAGGTAGGCCGGTGAGGAGGGAGTTGCAGTAGTCCAGACGTGAGATAATGAGGGAGTGAACGAGTTGTTTAGTAGTGTCTGGGGTTAGGAACGGACGTATTTTGGAGATGTTGCGGAGGTGGAGCCTGCATGAGTTTGCCAGCGATTGGACATGGGGTTGGAAGGACAGGTTTCAGTCTAGAGTGCCACCTAGGACTTTGGCTTGTGGGGTGGGACTGATGGTGGCGTTGTTGGTCGTGATGCAGAGGATGGGGGGGGGGGCTCGGGCTGGGAGGAAAATTAGGAGCTCGGTTTTGGAAAGGTTCAATTTGAGGAAATGGAGCGACATCCAGTCTGATATGTCGTTCAGTAGATGGGTGATACGGGCGGAGACTGAAGGGGTGAGGTGAAAATACCATATTATGGCCACTAGATGGAGATAATAATAAGTATTTTCCATGATCATCTGCTTCATCTAGTGGCCATTATGTGGTATTTTCCTGATTCACTCTTCTGTATTAAAAATAAAACCCAACCTGGAGAGAAAGGAGCCTAACAACATTCAGTCCCCCCCCACCACACCCACTCGCACAGAATAAATGTAGGTGCAGTTTTACAGGATGAATAGTTCTGTCACTGTTTGTTTTTTCCAAATCTACCCCTAATTGATGAAGAAAAGAGAAAAACAAAAATGATTTTGCTCTGGCACAGTTCATACGAAATGGTTTTCAGATCTCAGAGATCTAATACGGTATGTATATTGAGTGCCATGGAAAAGAACTTGTATTCTGTCATCTCTCAGCAGTCAAGTAAGCGTTTCTATATTTGGCCGCCGACAATACAATGTGCTGCACTACGATTTCCCTTCCCGCAGCTCGGCAGCTATTTTCAGATATCAATTTTCTTCATTGAGAATGACGGAGGGAGGTTTTTTTTTTTTTTTTTCTTTTTATGAATAGAGGAATTGAATGGCTGCATATTTGAGATGACTGCAATGAAACAGCTCTTTACTTCCGTTAACTATCAGCTCTTAAAACGTGTGGCATGTGGTCTGGACCCCCGAATTCTCAAACGCTCTCTTGCCATGTAGCCCCCTGTGAAAATGGGCCCCGGGCGGAAAAAGCAACTTAAAGGGAAGTGTTCTTGTTGCCATAGTAACTGCTTTCCTGATGTCGAAAGGAGGTGAATGGCCGCTGTGGGAAATTTAGATGAGGGTTGAATGGGCGTACCTGACTTCTGACTTGGGCTCCAAGTCGGTATTTGCATACGAGGTGCGACAATGTAATTCCTGGAATAGACTGTAAAACATTGTTCGTACCTATGCACTAGTGGCTGATGCCACCTTCTAAGCAGTCCTCTTGACTCCTCTAGGAGCCGATGCCGGAAACATTCCTGGAATTCACTTTCTGGAAAGCTGCACAATATCTTTGCCGCAGTGCGCTGGATGTCTGGAATGTCGTCAAATCCGTGTCTTTTTAAGGCATTTTTTTAATTTTGGAAACAGCCAAAAGTTGCAGAGTGCGAAGTCAGGGGAATGAGGTGGGTGGTCAAGTTTCAGAATTCAGTTTGTGCAGTAGCATTGTCGTGGTGGAGAATCCACTAGTCAGGCCAGAGTTCCAATCTTTTCCTCTGAAAAGATTCCCATAACGTTTTCACGTTCCACATTTGCATCCATCCTTTGTGTTTTTGGCTGCCCTTTTCTTGCGCCATCATGGACATCTTCCCACCCCTCCTTAAACCGCCTTTGACATTAAAAAACACTTGATTTCTTCATGGAATGTTCACCATAAGCCTGTTGTAACAGAGGTAAAGTTTCACTTGCACACTTTCCAATTTTCACACAAATTTTGAAATTATCCCACTGCTCCAGATTCCTGTCGCTCATTTTCCGCCAACAGCGCAACGCACACACCCGTTATTTCTTCTACTGCTCCATAAAGACCGAGTCAACTGGTCTGCGACCCAGGAGAGTGCAGGTGAGAACAAGTCAGAACATGCTCGAGTGCCAATGGCCGTGTGACTCACCACCATTGCCGCGGGTATTCCGGGAATTAAATAGTCAACTTGTATGCGACCGATTATAGCATGATTCGCTGTAGAAGTAACAGGCGTTAATGAACGGCTTAGGGTACTTCCATGCTGGAAAATCAGTATTCCTGGACAAAATTTCTTGCATTTATTTTGTACGTATGCGAGTGAAATAAATTCTACCTTTCGGAATGGAATTTTAACCTCTTCAAATTAAATTTTACATTTACCAATTAGTTTGCGGCTCCTCCTTTCAATGTCCATTTTTGTAGGGGGGGGAGGGGACAAGACCTGTAAATGTTTCTTAAAGTGGTTGTAAACCCTCACACATACCCAGGGACATTGCTTCCACTAGGCAGCCGCCTAGGGCGTACTGCCACCTAGGGGCGCCTGGGCAAAGCACAGCCCAGCACTCTGTGGAATGATCGTCCAGCTGAGGTGTCTGGGGCCAGTGTAGCAGCTGAGCTGCAGTTCCTTCCAGTGTTCCTCTCAGACTCAGTCCCTTACTGCAAGCCGGCTGCTGATCACTGTGGAGTTCCAACCCTTTTCTTCCCATTCATAAGTAAAGACAGAGCTGCGACTGCGGGGGAAGGTAATGTCTGCCTCTGATGTCTCATGTCTGTGTGAGTGTGACCCGGCCAGCCGGCCATCCATCACATGTACAATGTGTCAGTGAGTGATGACATCCCACAGCCTGCTCTTCTAGTTCCTGCTGATCTATGTCAGTATTGGTGGTGTGTTGTGTCAGATCTGCCACTGTGTGGGATCGCTCAGTTCAGGTGTTCTCTGTGTGTGTGTGGACCGTGCTGCCTGCTGTGACAGTGTTTTTACCTCCCCCCATTGCCTGGGGAATTCCAGCCTGGGATCTGTCAGTGTGTGGATCCATCACCCTCCACTCACTGCAACTTTCACCCAGCCACAGATACAGCCCATTCGGGACATTTATTTTGCTCTAATATTGGTGCTGGTGGCATCTTATGGCACTTATTTTTGCAAATTAAAAGAAATGTAGCAGTTTCATGTTTTGTTGATTTCATGCTTTCTAATGTTTTAAAAAATTACTTTTTTTTTGGGGGGGGGGGGGGCGCAAGTAGCTGGTCTTGCGTAGGGCGCAATAAAGTCTAGCACTGGCCCTGCACATACCCAGTAAAGTGACTTGCTTCAGGTGATACACAGAGGTTAAAAAAATCCTCGTACATAAGTTGTACCTGTTTATCTGCTGTATTCTCTTCACTACAGCCCTTCAAAGTACAGAAGCTATACAGCTTATCTGAGCCTTCAAAAAGCAGAAGGTGGGGAGCTGAAGTTACACTTTGCAGAGATCAGTGAGAGCTGACCGGCGGGAAGGGATATTCTCCCTGCACACTGGAACAGAGCTGAGGCTGTCAATCACAGGCTGTGTGCTGAAGTCCCCCCCCCCCCTTTGTTCTCTTGGTGTCAGGAAAACTTGTCAGAAGTGACTTGTGCTGAGGAGTGAGGCAACAGGGAGATATTACACTTAGTGTTCTGGATTGAGACAAGTACACACTAGAGAAGGATATGCTTTGTTCATATTTCATGTCTAAGGTTTACAACCACACCAGCAACACTGCAGGTTTTTTTTCTCATCTATATGCAGCGCATGTTTGTACAGACACATTGAAAACAATGGGCCGCATTTAGATCAGTAAAAAAACAAAAACAAAGCCTTGTGTAAGAGGCTTTAGGTCACACTGTATCTTCAGCACTTGAACATTGTGAGGGAACATATATACAATGATAGTGAATACATATTCATCAGACATTGCGAATGCAGTTCCATCCACTCCCAGCGGCATGTTTGCCTGGGGTGGCAATTTTCAGGAGGGCAGCACCGCCTCTGGAAAAAGTGACACAAGTGGTAATGTCTGAGCTCCACCATG